CCTTGTCACTATTCCACTCAATAATGAAGATGGTATTGATGAAACTCTCCGTCTAAACGGTCCTGTTTCTAACTTTGGTTTAATAATAAAATTGTATTTATCCTTAATATCCCTAGAAAAATTTTTAATTGGTAAATCCGGATCATTATTTCTTTTAGCAGCATTGGTTCTTTTTATTATATCCACATATTCATCAACATCAGTTTGTTTATATGCAATCGGTTCTTTTAAAAAAAGTAATTCATAAAGCCCTGGTGTTCCAGGATATTTAATACCTTTTATTACAATATCCGAACCATCAAAGTTTAATTCAGAGTCTCCAATACGAAATTTTTCAGTTTCCATGTCATGGTAAATCCCCAAAACATGATCAAATTTATTTTCAATATCTGATATATTTCTAAGTATATAATCTCTAGGTAAAGGTGCAGTAAACTGATCCAGATATTCAACAAATGAAGGAGGTGGGTTTGTAGTTAAATCATGTAGACTTTTAATTGTATCTTCTATATATTCATCAACTTGCTCATCACTGGTTCGTGGCTGATATTCAAACGTTTGGTCTGGCTGATTTTCATAAATCTCTGATTCATTTAAACGAGTACTTTCATGTTCTGGAGCATGTTTAATTGTTTGACTTAATGGTGATGGAAAAGAAGAATATGCTATTTTAGTATATTCTTTTCGCGGAGGTTTACGCAAGAAACTGAACTTTTCTGATTTCGGTGTTAAATTTTCTTGTTTAATTATTTCTTGTTTCCCCAAAACTGAAACCAGTTGTTTAAGGGGGTCTGTTATTGGTTGATATGTTTTTTCCAAACGAGTTTGTGATTTTGTTATATCACTTTTTAGACTTTTGTATTTCTTTTTCAAAGCTTGACGCGCTTTAAGAAGTTGTTTCGCGACGCGCTCATCCATTTTAACTAAATTGTTCGATTACTAAATCTCTTTATATACGTATAAAAGTATCAAAATTTTTTCGATATTTAAATTGAGAATCTTTATCAATAGTTAGAAAATCATACTTTTTCTCCCAACAAAATGAGCATATATCTCTAAACTGTTTAAAAGACATATCTATATTAACATGATCATCGTAAATGTGTTTTAAATTAGTCATATCTTGTGGAAACACTATTAAAAGGTTCGAATTATCTCTGATCAATTGTTTGGGAATTGCACTATATGTCTGACAAATATAAAAACAATCTGTATGTTTATGTCTACCAAAACAAAAATAATTTTGAATAATCTTTTGATCACATGAAGCAACATCATCAAATATAATTAACGAATTTTCTTTAATTTCATTAGGTTGAGGTATATTTGTAGGTTCATTAAACTCTTCATAACCGATTTCTTTAATGGGTTGAACTAAATTTTTGAGGTATTTATATTTGGGCTGATGAAGACTTTTGGAATACACATATATATTTTCAAATCTTAATCCATTAGGGTGTTCAATTAATGAAAGCATACAATTTGTCTTCCCAGAGCCGCTAGGACCAACAACTAAACATCTTTTAGAATCACCACCAAACAAATATCCATGCTTATTAAGTTTTTGATCATTAACAACTAAATCGTGATTTCTGACTGGTAGAGTCATGTGTTGTTTTTCAACCCTCATGTTAATGAATTCTGTTGAAGACTAAGGGTATATATAGTGGGGTCGTAGTATATAAATAACACAATGGTTAAGTACCAACAACGGAGTTCACATCGAAAAGGAAAAGGTTTACTAAATTCTTTGATAAACAAACTACCAATTGAATTACATATTCCGGGATATTCCTACTGTGGCCCCGCCACTCAGCTTGATAAGAGATTACAAAGAGGTGATAAAGGTATAAATCAATTAGACGAAGCCTGTAAAGAACACGATATAGCATATTCACAAAATACAGATCTCAAAACTAGACACCAAGCAGATAAAATATTACAACATAGAGCTTGGGAGAGAGTTAATTCTAAAGACGCTAAGTTAGGTGAAAAAACAGCTGCATGGTTTGTGACAACTGCGATGAAAGGTAAACGAAAATTTGGAATGGGTATAAGAAAACGAGTAAAAAAAACTAAAAAAAGAATAATTCGAACACCGAAAAAAGGTGGATTTTTACCTTTATTAATCCCTATTATATCTGCGTTGGCTGGGTTGGGTGGCATGGGTGCTGGAATTGCCAAGGCTGTAAATGATGCCAAAACAAATCGACAACAACTTGAAGAGCAAAAACGTCACAATTTAGAAATGGAAACTAAAGGAAAAGGTTTATATTTAAGACCTTATAAAGGAAAGGGCTTGCGATCAAAAAGAAAATATAAAAAAAAATCAAAAAAGGCAAAAAACTAATGTTACCACAGCGAGCACTTACCAACATTGATTTAAAAAAATTTGTAAAAATATTAAAAATACCACACTTTAGAGGTGTGTTTATGAGAGATTCATTACCACGTAGAATCCATAAAAATGAATCAGGTATTTTAAATATGGATTCAAGTAAAGGACCTGGAACACACTGGACTGCATATACCAAACAAAATGGGAATATTGTATATTTTGATAGTTTTGGAAATTTATCTCCTCCATTAGAACTAATTAAATATTTTTATAGTAATGGTGATGTGAATATAATTTATAATTATGATAGAGTTCAAAAAAATTCCTATAAATGTGGTCATTATTGTTTAGGTTTCCTATATAATCAATATAATTAAAATAATTTTTCATTATAAGAGATTTCTTGGTTGAGTTAATATGGCTTTCTCTTTTACATTGACTGGCAATTCTTCAATTTTGAGTTATGATTTGAACCCTGCAATTTATTTAGAAGAGAATATTGATTATGAAATAGGGTTAGTTAGTTTTAACAGTTTTAACACAATTCCAAATATCGATGAAAGCAATAATTTATTTGTATGGGGTGACAAAACGAAACTTAATACATTTAAAGTACAAGTTGGTGCTTATGAATTGGAAGAACTCATACATGTTTTAAAAAAACATATGCATGACATAGATGAAAATGCTCAAATAGATATCATTCCTGACATAAATACATCAAACATTTCTATATCAAGTAATCGTATTATTTCTTTTAATAACCCTAATTCGATTGCAAAAGTATTTGGTTTCGATAGCAAAAGGCTTGACCCAGGTAAAAGTTATACATCAAATCACCCCATTAAAATTTTAAAGGTGAATTCTATAGGTATTGACTGTAATATTGCTGCTGGTTCATATTTAAATGGAAAACCGGTTCATATTATACATCAATTTTTTCCGACTGTGCCCAGTGGGTATAAAATAGTGGAGTCACCTCAAAATATTTTATATTATCCCGTAAGCGTTAAGACGATCAACAACCTTACTGTTAAAATTATTGATCAATCCGGAGATCTAATAAATTTTCGGGAAGAAGAGATTACGGTTACTCTTCATATTAGGAAAGTATAATGGTTTTAAAATTTTTCCACCCATATAAAAACTATATAAGATTACCAAATCAGAAAAAAACTATTAGTATCGCGAAACCAATAGCGGTAATAACATCTAGTAATAAAAAGTTTTTAACTTCTCTAGGATTTAAAGTCTTAATATAATGGATATTCTTAATGTAACAGGTCAATATATGAATGATACTAGTATTGAAGAATGTCAATTTCATAATTATCAACCATTTATTCCTGGTAAATTAAATTACAACGATGAGATTAGAATCCCCATTCAAGAGCTTGATTCTTATACACTACCATCACAAAGTTTTTTATATATTGAAGGAAAGTTATTAACTGATGCAGGAAATGTACCAACTAAACTAAAATTTATTAACAACGCAATAGCATTTTTATTTCGTGAGCTACGTTATGAATTAAATGGGGTTGTAATAGATTCCGTAAGAGACCTGGGTTTAACTTCAACAATAAAAAATTATTTAAGTCTTAATGAAAACGAAAGTGTACTAATGCAAAATGCTGGGTGGTATCCTAAAGAAATAAAAACAATTACGACAGATTCTAAAGGTGTTATGACTGTAGAAACTGAAAAAATATTAGTAGATAAAAATGGGAACTTTAATGTTTGCATACCATTGAAAATGTTATCAGGTTTCTTTGAAGACTATAAAAAAATAATTTTAAATATGAAACAAGAACTAGTATTGATTCGATCAAGTGATGACATCGATAGTGTAATAAGTACCGATAAAACTGAAAATCCAAAAATTGAATTAAATCGATTATATTGGTCAGTACCACACATAAAACCTAGCTTAAGTCAACAACTTCGACTAACTAATATTAGTAAAAGCAATAAAGAATTACCAATTAAATTTCGATCATGGCAAATGATACAATATCCATCCCTTAGTTCTTCAAAATTAAATACATGGGTAGTAAAAACAAGTTCAAAGGTAGAGACACCGAGGCATGTAATTATTGGTTTTCAAAAAAATAGAAAAAGTCAAATATTAAGCGACATGAGTAAGTTCGATCATTGTAAACTTAACAATATCAGAGTATTTTTAAATTCGGAACGATATCCCTATAATGATTTAAACTTGGATTTTGATAATAATAAATTTGCTACTTTGTATGAAATGTTTGCAAATTTTCAAGAAAGCTATTACGACCTTCATCTGAATCAGCCAATATATAACCCAGTCGATTTTAAAAATAATGCACCATTAATTCATATTGACTGTTCAAGACAAAAAGAAGTTTTACAAGCGGGTAGTATTGTATTAAGAATTGAATTTGAAACGAATGAACCAACATCGGCAGATATTTCAGCATATTGTCTTATTCTTCATGAAAAACAATTTTCATATAATCCCACAACCAAGATTGTTAAACAACAATAATGCGCATGTGCAAATATAGCTATAAAACCCCGTCACGAATATTTAATTCATTCAATATGCACCATTAAGGAAACTTCAACAAGATATCGAATTCTACATACAAATGCAAAATATTATCAAAAAATTTCAAAAATTAAAGCTATGAGACAACTTGTTGTGGATGTACAAGGATTTAAATTGGAAAACAATAAATTTCTGGTAAAAGAATTTGCTGCTTTCGATGGCATTCACATATGTCATTATGTATTCAAACCACCATTTCCTCTAAGATTACTGTCTCCTAATCTGCACCGTCAAGCAATCTGGTTAATGAATAATTACCATTATATTGATTGGAATGTTGGCTCCACTCCAGTACACCAATTTGGTAATATCCTAAAATTTTTATCAGAAAAAACTGATATGATTTATGTTAAGGGAATAGAAAAAGCAAATTACATAAAAAAATATTCCCAAGTACCAGTTTACGAGTTTGATGAACAACCAGCACTTCAACCAATGGAATCCAAATGTTTCTATCATACTAAAAATAATGGCGTTTGTGCCATATCAAATGTTTTTTTTTTATACAATAATTTTATGATGTAATAAAATTAAAAAACGTTAAAATGTTTTATCTAACCCCCACCACTTTTAAAATGTATTTAAAGCAAGTACAATAGACTTGTTCTACAAAGTTACAATGCACTCTGACGATTACTCACACCTATTGGAATCGTTTGATCACAGACTAAAGTCATTTGAGAATTGGACTGGTAATGTATCCCCAATAGAGTTGGCACTGGCTGGATTTCACTATATTGGTAAAGAAGATGTTGTTAGATGTTTTGAATGCGATATTCAAATTAACAAATGGAAGCCTGGCGATGTACCGATTCATGATCATTTAAAGTTTAGTCCTAATTGTAGTTATGCTAAAATGATGAAGTCTGCAAAAAGAACAGGTGAAGAAAAATATTCGTTTTTTCGAATTATTTTAGCGTTACTTCTTTTACTATTCATTATAGATGTATATTTTTATACGTTTTTGTTACTACTAGTCATTATAACAATATACAAAACTTTGAAAGTAAAAAATCATTATTGGTTTAATGGCATTCACAGAAAACTTGTTTAGAATGACCTCTGATAACCTTAAGATACACGTCTAGACCTGTTTAACCGCTTCTGCAGACATCGACCATTGCATATGAAGTGGGGAAATTGTGTATATATTAAAGATGAAGTTAATATTTCCAGCAGTGAGTCTGAGTAGAAGGTAAAGTGTTGTAAATGGAGTCCAACACACCTTTTAGACCAGCAAGAATTATATATATTTATAATTGTAACTATTGTTATTTTGAACATCAGTTTTTAAGAAGATTGTACAGTGAAGAAGTATTACTTTGCATTAGGTGTAGAAGAGAACAGAGTGTTTGTGAACCACAATCATGGATAGAATATTAATTTATCCAACAAAAATGCAGGATGATGATTTCCACAAAAGAAGAAAAATCCAACCTTTATTATTGGACAAAGTTAGAAAACAATTAAAATTTGATGAGGAGTTTTCAAAAGAGAGTATTGAAGTATTGACTATTGAAGAATATAAAAAATGGGATAATGTATTTTCTAATTTAAACAGATTTAATAAAAAATAAAATCCATTTTTTTGATTTTTATTTACCAGTGTCTTTTTTTTACACAGGTTTACCAACATAAGCAATATATAAATAGAATGTAATCAAAAATAAATGTTAGTTTACTTTAAGATGTTGCCTTCGCACTTTATAATTTTACAAGCCATTTTTAATGGTTCACTTTTTATTCATTATCCATACGGAGCTAAAGATGTTTTCATTTGCTTCAATGATAACGATACAAACTGGAAAAAAATGGAACTTTACAAAGCCAATAATATTCCTACACTCACATCTCTAATCCCCAATAACAGTACACAATACAAGTTAAGACTTGAATGGACGAATAATAAAGTTGAAAGTACCAACTGGAATCAACTCTATACTTACTATATAAAAGAAAGTGATTGCATCGATAACACGTTAGTAGTAATAACTACATTGCTTGTGATAGTACTTGTAATAGAATTGATAATAAAATATACTCTGAAGATATGGAAAAGTGTTGTTGTATGAAAATGAAATTAGTAGATGAACATCGAAAAGGTAAAAGTTTGTACAACTTTACGGAAGAAGAATTAGGATATTTCCCATTAAAACACTTACTGGATAAAGCTAAACCATCAGAACTTCTTTATGCATGGCATAAATTACCTACCGAATACACTCAAGATTTCAACCTTCAAACAAGGCTACCCTGCTTCATACATTTTAATAGACCTAACTGGAGAGACCACGTTGAAGGAGGGGCTTTTAGCCAAAATGATTGTACTTTGTGTAATTTAGCCCTTCGTAATCTGTAATAAAATTATGTTAAAAAATAAAAAACATTAGTAAATAATATAAATTTTTATTATAATACAAAATTATCTAAATTAATGAGATCATCCATTGTTTGTAATAAATCATCCAATGTACCAGTCATCGCTTTTTGATTGGTAAGAAAATGTCCCCACGCTAGAGTATTGACATCATGTGGTATGACATACCTTTTATCATCTTTAGCTGAAAGAGCGACCTTATTTCTAAGTTCTGTGTAGATGGTGTGTAGTGATGATACAAAAACATACATTTTTCTGTAGATTGTGTCATCATTTTGTACAATTCGGACATAGTCATTTAAATGCAGTTGGTTTTTTACTATATTTGCTGACACTCCTTTGGCTTTTTTTATTTGAGTCATCTTCTTAAACGGTTTACCTAAATTTATACAGTACACCTTGGCACAAGTTCCATAAAATTCAGCAATTGGTGTACCACCAAACTCATCTTTCATTTTTCCAACGACTGATTTGGTTATAGGGATTTCATATTCATTGTCTTTTGAATAATTAGATGTATCAAAATGATTAATGTTTTGTTTAAGATCTTCATAAAAGTTTTTGGTAAACACTTCTAGAATTAACGAATCAGTGTCGGTATAACACAACTTTGCAGAGTCACCATACTTTTGTTTTATATAACCATAAAAAAATTCATATAATATGGTTTTCGAAATATCTAACACTGAAAATCCTATATACAAGGGCTTATCATAATACATTTTTACATTTGCTAAATGGATAGCAACTAAATTTTCATTAAAAACAGAACAAGTTTTAAATTGTGGTTTTGCTATTAATGATCTTGCACCTATGAAACCCCCTGTATTCTCCCAGTGCGATATTAGATGTATAGCTTTCCTTTTATCAATATTTTCCAAAGCTTTTCCGAAAATTGCATTGACCAGCAGCTTAAAAAGATCTTTTTCAAAGTCATTCATTGCTTGATTTCGAAGGAGTGTGTTTAAATCAATATATTTTTTTAACCAAGGTAATTGAGAAAATTCCAAAATTCTATGAATTTTCCTTAATTTTAGCCCATATTTAAGACACTGTTTTAAGTTCCGGTAGTGGATAATATACTTTTCTTTATTATTTAAATTTGGAATTAATTTTGGGTGTTTACCTGTTGGTGGTATTATATTTTCAGGACAAAACGGAAGATCGTTGTGAGTGTGGTGAAGATTGTGTGGATACTCCAAATCTACTTCCAACACATATCCTTTAGAAGCGTCGTCTTTTACTAAAGTACAATCAAAGTTATCCACAGGTATCCACTTAAAGTCACCAAAAGGAAGAGATTGACTCATTGCAGACCCATATAAATTGGTAGCGTCCAAATACATAATATAACTTTCGGGCTTTGAAATGTCAAAATTAGGTAAAAATTTATTGTTAGCTACTGCATGTCTTTTACTACACTGCGCAACTCCACCTCTGACACCTTTTTTAAAAAAGTGTAGCATATCAATGTCTGTTAATAATTCTAACTCTATTTTGGTATATTTTAACATCGCATCCCAACTTAAGGAAGGTGCTGTCAAGTAGTGGGCTGGATCAAGTTTATAGTGTTTTAAACAAACTTTTCTAAAGTTTTCAAATACATCAGCTAACAGAAGCACATCAGTCTTTAAGTAGAGCATCGCATAATCGTTAAGTGTTTTACAATTAAAAGTGTTCCAAATTTCTTTAGCTTTATCATAGTCTTCATCGGAGATTGGTTCACCTCTCAAATTATCAAAAAATTTCTCTTTCGAAGGTAATCCTTCCTCGTCCAATTTTTCAAAGCTGCTCACATAAGAATATGGAAAAATACCTTTACGCCTCATTAAGTTAAACTCTTTTTCATTGTAGAAATATTTTTTTACTTCATTACATTGACTAGAATCCAAAGTTTCACTTAGTTTATCGAGTGATCTTGACAAAAATCGAAAAGAGTCTACAAATCTAAGTTTCATGAATGAATCGGGAACTTTGGGGTCTTTGGATTTTTCAACTAAAATAGATTTGGAAAAGGAAATGTATTTTTCCTTAGTTTGGGCCAATGCTGATACAGATTCTTTTTTAGTTGTCAACTCCTTGATAAACAAATGACTATCATAGTTTGTAAGATTATGAAAAAACACTGGTATAAATTTAGGTAGTTTATAATTCAAATTGCATGAATTATGCGCTGCCGAACGAAATTTTCCAAGAGTATGGTCGTGATCTCGAACTTTTTTGTTAAAAGCGTCAAAAGGTCTTTCACAGATGTGACAGACTGTGGCATTATCATATGCTTCCTGTTCTTCGGGGGTAAGTGGTAGCATAGGCTTTACATGTTTTAAATGGTTATTGTATAGGTTATGAACCACTTCATCAAGTTTTTGAACAAACACTTTGGCTGCATCTGGTCCTTTGTACATCTCAAGTTTGGATAAGTTATCGTCGTAATTACATTTTAAATAAAATGCAAACGAATATGGTACATGTTCACACACCTTTACACTAAATGATTTGGAATTATGAGGCTCGCAATTGTCTATTGGTATTAACAATGATTCAAAGTCCGCATAAATCACAAACGGCACTTGTAGTTGTTTTTCAAAATTTACAAATTTTAAAATATTTTCAGGAATTAGTTGACTGCATTTATTTTTTTTCATTTCTTTTGTTGGTAGTTCAGTATATATATGTGTACAATCATGTTCTTCATGGGCTTTTAACTTTTCTATTGTTGCAAAAGACTGTAAACAACCATCACATATATGTATTTTTTCGGTGTGTTTTGTTTTTTGACTTCTAACAAGTCGTGACAAATCAGTAATTAAACAATAATGACTTTTTTCATTATCTGTTATTAGTAATAGGTTTATATGTGTGGGTAGACGCTTGGAAGTAAAATGTAGTGGTCCTACTATTTCATAATTATTTTTGCAATTTTTGTAATAAGATTCCAACCCAAATACATTTACTGAAATGTTATTCATATTCTCAAATTTTCTTATGTCTTTCAACTTCACTGGGAAATCAATACCATCAAAATTCAACAATGTGTCATAATGTGGATATGATGATGGATTCTTGGGATCACCTTCTGCTGGGAAAATGGCTGCATTGATACACCAGGCAAAACAAGCATTATCTTGGTTTTCAATATTCAAGACAGCATTTTTTTTTATTATTAATATAGGTAGTTTAATATATGAAGAAGCTGCTATACTGTTGAAGCGATTTATGTTTACATCTAAAAACATTATTTCCTGTAAGCTCCAATTGGACTCTTTTTCTGTAAACTCCGAAGCCTGGGTTAAAAGTTCCGATTTAAATTCATCAAAAATTTCTTCAAGGTTAGTTGTAGGTGTTATAATTTTGTTTTCAGAATTCATGGACTTAATATCAGTTAGTTCTTTATCTGGCTTCACGTAGATTCCAAACACTTCCATATTTACTTTCAAGTTTGTGTGAAGTTGTAAATATTCACTGATTTTTTTTAAAACTTTTTGTTTAATATCATTAAAAAACGAATTGTAACTGATTTTGTTTTCACTAATGTTGGTGAATCTGTATGAAGCAATACGACTTTTAAAAGCATGTGAAAGTTTGGTGACACTACTATCCATATCATCAATTCCTATTAGTTTTAGTCTCTTTTTTGGAATTGAACACACCGTTTCACGATTTGCGCAAAATTCAAGTAAATGCCTCTTTAGAGTATATGAGTTTGAAAATAGTTTACCACACTTTGTACACTGCATGTTGCTTACACACAATATCAAGAAAAACTGAAGAACTCACAGAATACTGACTGCTTTAATAGTAATGGTGGAACCTGATTCATAAATGGTCAGCAGAAGCGGTTAAACATGTCTAGACGTGTATCTTAATGTTAACGGGGGTAGTTAATAGTCTTTCAAACCGGTTTGTTCTGTCTAGACACATGTCTGAAGGTTAAATCCTGTTAAACCGGTTTGACTGGATTTCCAGTCCAACCGGTATACACAAGGTTAAAGATTATAAGGGTCATTAACCGTCTGGAAATGTAGTCAAACCGGTATACACAAGGTTAAAGATTACAAGGTCATTAACCGTCTGGAAATGTAGTCAAACCGGTATACACAAGGTTAAAGATTACAAGGTCATTAACCGTCTGGAAATGTAGTCAAACCGGTCTATACATACAGGTATGTAAAAGAGGGAGTTATTTTTAAGCTATATAAGTATAGGATTATTTTAAAATATTAAAAGTTAAAATGGAAATATTAACAGATGATGTTTCTGTATTAATTACGGGCATTAATAGTTTAAAAGTAAATAGTGATGAAGAAATACAATCAGATAATAATGTATTGAGTATAACTGATGGCGACTCAGATGATGATGTATTGAGTATGGCTCATGGTTACTCAGATAATGATGAGTTGAGTACGGCTCATGGTGACTCAGATGATGATGTGTTGAGTATGGATTTAGAAGAAAATCTTGAAAATGATGATACTGACTCTGAATTAAACTCAGTAAATAATTCAGATATTGAGGACGATGAATTTATAAGTATCGATAATTTGAATATTGATTTTAAAGTAAATAAATCTGAAATTGTAAACAATTTAAAATGGATGAGTTATGAATGTGATGGACCCGTTTGTGTTAGTCAGTACTACTATATAGTTGTAGAAAAAAAAGTATGTAGCCATTGTTTTTTTGACATCTTCAGTCAAGTGAATCAAAATATTGGACCACAACATATTACCAACCATTTCACTGGAACATATGACAGCATTTACAATTTTTTATATTTTTGTAGTGCGTGTTCTACAAAGTTATTTATTACATGTATGTGTAAATATTGTACAACATGCAACTCTATAAAATAAATTTTTTAATAGTAATTGTTTTTTATTTTAAAATTATTTTATTCTAGATAACAGTCTATTTTAATATTAATGTTAAAAACTAACCAATATATTAAAATCGCCAAACAAATTGTTTTGTCTAGACATGCGTCTAGTCATTAAGTCATACCGGTTTAGCCAGTTTAATAACCTTACGTGTGTCTAGACATATGTCTTATAACAACTAGTTAAACCGGTTAAACCGGTAATACCGGTATTTTCAGTATTGGAGTAAAACTGGATATTTGCAAGAGTGGGAGAAGTTTTGGATTATATATAAGAATAAAATAATTTGCTAATATTATGAGTGAAAATGGATGGTGGTGACAATCACGCAGTCTCCGATTTAATTTTGAATAATGCTGAGATGGGTGATGATCATATTATCCCCGATTTTGTTGTGGATGGTTGCGTCAATCATTCAGATGATAATTCTACTGTTTCTGATTTCGTTATGGATAATAATGGTGATGATGAACTACCATCAGATGAGGAAAGTTTTGTCTTCGATTTGGGTTCTGTATCAGATTCCAATACATGGTCTGAAAATGATTCCGACTTAGAAAATGTTGATTTTATTGAACAAGATTCTTTGGACATTGACTTTAAGGTAAATAATGTTAGTGTTATAAATAATGTAAAGTGGATGAACTATCAATTTAAAGAAACTTTGTGTGCTACCCAACATTACTACAGTGATGCGATATTGAAACTATGCAGCCATTGCTTTTTCAATACATTCAGACATGTTGAGGAGAACGTCTCACCCCTACATCACTCAGAACACCTGTCAGCAGATGTATATAGAATTTTTGATTATCTTTTTCACTGTACAGTTTGTGGCGATAGATTATTTACTCTTTGTCCAACCTCATATTGTATACTTTGTAATTAGTTATATACTTAAAATAAAATTTTAAAACTTTTTATTGTTGTGTAATTAATTTTCTGCTACTTTTTATAGTTATAGTAAAAACCGCAATATTTTTCTGATTTAAATCCTATTTTAGTCTATTAATAAACTTTAAAGCTATTTTGTCTTTAAGAAACAACAAATTCTTAATCTATATAGCAATTTTTAATTTTATATATAATTATATCTTAAAACACCGATATTTTGAGCTCTGTAAACCTTAATAACAAAAATTGTATTGTAACTTGAATGAATGATACCTAGAATGACATCTATCTTTTCAACACTAAAGTTTTTGTATTTTTTGGTGATGTCTTTAACAAATTTTCAATAACAAAACACCCTCTCGATGTAAAAATATTTGTGCAATCTATATTACTTGATAGCATTGGTACAAAACTGTCAAATAACACCTTGAAAATTGTACCAATAGTGACATCTCTCCATTAATTTCAACACTTTAGAATTCATTTTGTAAACTACTGCATTCAAAGAAATTATGTTTGTGTTTATTCAGGAAGATGGCGTTACCTGTATTACTTCGAAAGCTTGATGTCGAAATGATATCTGTGTTGTTTTGTAAATATGAAATTTACGTTTTACGGTGGTACTACTTTCGTCTATATTTTTGCGAAATGTGTTCTCGCTTTGTTTAAATATATTGCAAAATTAAAAATGGTTGTGTCTGATAATTTCAAATGTTGTGATGGTGAAAAAATTAGTATTTTGTTTAGTGTTTTGTGTTGTCTAATGACCATGTTTGTGTAAACAAATAGTGAAAACATGATTTTGTTGAGTTTTATGTACATATAAGTGCTTGTGTGATAGTGTTTTGGATTTAACTAATTACATGGGTAAATATAGTATTATTATTTCAATCATTGCTACCACCAAAACGTTTCTCAATCTTTATTAGGTCTAAAACTAATTACCTTTACAAATTATAAAGCAAATAAAAGAAAAAAATAGTACAACATAATATTATAAAGGTTTTTATAAAAAATACATTTCACATAATATACAAAAATTGAAATTAGAACACAGTCTTTACTCTTTGAAAAGTATATAGTTATATGTATTGCATTACATCTTTGAATTCAGAAATTATCCTTATTACCAATATCTGTACTTAGTAACAGACACCTTTGATTGTTTGTATGTATGTAATTTAAATGGGTTAGATCCATGATTTATACATCTTGAAATATACCAAAAAATTCATTTATTATTATTTGAACTCTGAACCTTCCTGCTAAAATCCAAAACTTTAAAATGTTTTTCTGAAAACCTTTAACTTAACCTATTTTAATACTTCAATTATAAAATTGTGAAATCTGAAAAAAAAAAGAAAAATCTATATGTTTATAAAAATTTTATTTACTTTTGAATGGTAAAATACAAAAGAGTTTTTTAAAATTGTCGATTAACATTTATTAAGTTTTAAGTATCAAGCAATGTGTGTTATGTAAAGTAAAATGTAGGTAAAAAATTAATGTAACAAATAATTATGTGTATACAATAAGTTTCTAATAAAACTACTTAATTCATTTTACTAAAGTAGTTTCTAAAATAAATAATGCTAATATTGAATTTTATAGTGAAAAATTAAATTATTTTACAAAATATAATGAATTCATAATATAATAAAAAAAATTGAAAAATTAAATAAAAAATGATTTTAAAATAAAAAGATTATTCTAAGAGGTTGATCCTTACAGCTCTTACTAAAACATTATCCAAAATATCAAGTTGTTTTTGAATTTTGTTGACTTTAGATTGATATTTTTTAAGCTTTATATATAATTGAAGTCTTTTTTCTTGTTTAATTTTGACAAAATTTTTTGTTTCCGAAATAAATTGCTCTAATTTATCTAAATATGCCTCAGTAGATTGCTGTTCCTCAATTTCTTCTTCGTCACATACAGTGGTGTCTAACTCCATCATCGTTGAATTATTATGAAAGTCATCGGTATCTGATACATCACTGTATTTGTCCTGTTTTAAGTCGGTTTTAGAAATACATTTCTTGGCAATAACTAATTTCGGAACTATGGGGTTGAATGTTGATGGCTCGGATGTCGATGGCTTGGATGTCGATGGCTTGGATGTCGATGGCTTGGATGTCGATGGCTTGGATGTCGATGGTCTGGATCTTGATGGGTTCGATGTTGATGGTTTGGGTGTGGAATGACCTATTGGTAATAGGTTACTGAAGGATCCATTTAAAACCTCGAAATCACTACTGTCATCACTTAGATAGCTTTGTTTGGTAATTAAAACATTACTTAATACATTAACTTTAGACATGATACTTCACACAATACTCAAAACTTAGCGATACTCGAAACTTAATAAATGTTAATAAGTTTCAAAGTTAAAATATGCCTTTATATATGCTGCCCCCAACAAAGCAGTACCCCCCTATCTCAATCAAAATAAAAAAGTACATGTGGAAATATTTTTCCAGGATGTTTTAATCCCACTTAAAAACTTGTTTGAAACATTTTTCCCAACCTATTAAAACTGAAATATGTCTTAAAATAAAAAAAGAAAACAAGTACCTATTTCTTGCTTGTTATACAAAAATAAATAAGTAGTTATTGACTATGTATGTTACCATAAAAATATAAAACCACTTACAGAAATATATTACCAATAAAAAGAAAACACCTGCCTTATCTAGAAATATGTTTCCATGCTCTAAAAAATGTATCTTGCTAGATGCTACATAAGTCCCTACCTTATTTGGTATATAAATACATTTTTATGTCTGCAATATTTCAGCTTGAGTATCAAGGACTATAATTATTGGCATTCCTTATATGGAATGGTTATCTTGTTTATGAATCTCAGACATGTAATTATAACATTTATAGTTGTTGGATGTTATTTTACAAATAATTTTTATAATGACATGCATTTTTTAAACAGGTACTGGTTTAATGCATTT